GGCCTCCTGCAGAGGACGTTTGCATTCACTGGGATTACATTTTAAAACATTGATAGCCCTGGGGAACAGATATATTGATTAATTCAAATGTCACATCGAGAGAGATTAGTGCTCCTGGACGATGCCCTCTACACAATTGAGACATGGTGCAGGATTTTGCGTTTTCTGTTGTATAGATAAAGACATTTCCATCATAAATAACTGCAGAGAAGCTGGAATAAACGGTTGATTGGGAGGACACCGGCCTAAGGATTAAATGAAATCTACTCTTTGTCATATGTTTGTTTTCAAATACATGTGGCCCTTTTAACTGTGTTAAAGAAGGAGGAATTCCAGACAAATGTATTTAATGATTTGCCTCTCTCACATCCTCTGCTTTCCCTGAACATGTATTCCAGAAAAGAAGACAAAAAGTAGTCTTCATATAAGTTGTTTCTGTTGCTGTTCAGAAGCAAGGCTATATTATATTATATTTGTGTGAACATAAAAATAATTTGTGTGTAAATATGTGATTTGTAAGACAGACAACTTCTAAGTTGAACTATTTATTGCAAAGAGAGCAAAAGATATATATCACTTGGCCAAGGACTCGTCACATCTTTGGGAATCACAGGCAGCAAAGCTGTAATCTGTAACCACCAAATCCGTCAAGAGCCTCGAACCTCGTGCGACAATACATTTTATTACACAGCGCGTTGCCCGTACATTTTTCAAGACTAGCTGAAGAGATACCGCGGTTTAGACTTGATTCTCTTTGGTTGGTGCACAGACTCAGATAGGGTCTCTTGGCAACCTCTCTACCTCAATCTCTTGGATCCTCCAACCAGCATTCGGCTGGCCTGTGGAAGTCCCTCCCTACTCTGGCACCATCATACTAATTTGTTTTCTCTAACGTTTCTTCAGATATAGCGGGAAACCATAATGTTGCTTCCTAGCTTTGCGGGGGAGCGCGGCTCCCATACAGAGTCAAGGCCGGTGCGATGTGCTGTTCTGACTACCTCTTTGTGTTCTCTCAGTCTCTGCACTCCACCTTGATACTTTCAATATTGCAAGCTAAACACTTTCTCATGTAACTTTTCCCTACGTTCCTGTCCACCCCATCAACACTTTGGGGGGGGGGTGATTGGGTCAATTTATTCCTAAATCACAGCCACATACAATGAGCACAATAAGCAAATAATGTAATAATAAGAATCAGTCTTTCTAATGTTATATAAAAATAGCCTCCACAAAATACGCAAACATATTTTTTTTGAATATCTCTTTAACATTTACAACTTTCAATCAGGCATTTGTGAATCCATTTTGTATTTGTCGACCAAAAATGCGCTTGTGGATCTCACATTTCTGCATGTGGATCTCAAATCTCTGCTTGCGGATCTCAAATCCCCATTTTGAGACAAACTTTCTGCCGGTCTCGGCTTAAATCTACTCTTGTCACTCGGTTATTTTCGGAAAACACGTGATGGCCGGCTGATGACGACATTTCCGCATGGTTTTCAAAGTAAGAGCATGATGTTTTTGTCATGCTCTTACTTTGTCTATTGTTTATTATAATGAACAGCGGAACGTTAGATGCATTCTTTATCACCATCATCATCATGTTATAGTTTGTGTTAGTTTATTGGTTCAATACAGCATATCGAGCACATTCGTATGCATTGATGTTGAAGTACAGGCTACGCCACTTTCGGGTCCCGGGGGAGCAGCTGGCAGTGAAGCAGCCCAGAGATAACTCTTTCTTCATTGTTTTTTGTGTATTCAGTCAAGCGGGTCAAAGTTACAAAGCACTTCACATCTTATTAATCAGCCTAGTTTTACCTTACCAGTGCAGTTGTAAGGTAATCTGTAGAAAAGCACCGTATTTAGGTTAGCCTTCATAGTAAGGCTACACACACGGAGCCGAGCTTGAATGAAACACCCAGAAGTAGGCTACTTGTAAGGCTATACTGTAGCATATCATTTTCGAATCAATCATTTTTCAAATTATGAATTTCACATATATAAAAAAAAAACATACATTTCTTGGGGTTGCTTAGCAGTTGCTAGGCCAATTGTTGGTGTTGCTGTAGCAACTGCAAGCTACCGCCTGGCGCCGCGCCTAGATAGATAGATAGACAGACAGATGGATAGATAGATAGACAGATGGATAGATAGATAGACAGATGGATAGATAGATAGATAGATAGACAGATATATATATAGATAGACAGATGGATAGATAGATAGACAGATGGATATATAGATAGACAGATGGATATATAGATAGACAGATGGATAGATAGATAGATAGATAGACAGATATATATATAGATAGAGAGATGGATAGATAGATAGATAAATAGACAGATGGATAGATAGACAGACAGACAGACAGACAGACAGACAGATAGATAGATAGATAGATAGATAGATACTTAATTCATCCCAAATTGTGAAATGTGTGGAAACAAGTATAAACATAATAACATTAAATACAAATGAAAGCAATAGACAGGAATATATGCATATACAGTAGAAAGGACACGATGAATATTATAACATTTAATGTAGCCTTACTATGAAGGCTAACCTAAATACGGTGCTTTTCTACAGATTACCTTACCACTGCACTGGTAAGGTAAAACTAGGCCGATTAATAAGATGTGAAGTGCTTTGTAACTTTGACCCGCTTGACTGAATACACAAAAAACAATGAAGAAAGAGTTATCTCTGGGCTGCTTCGCTGTCAGCTGCTCCCCCCGGGACCCGAAAGTGGCGTAGCCTGTACTTCAACATCTATAGAGAACCGCAGTGACGCGTCCTAAAACCCGGAAGTAAGTTAGCATTTTTACCACGTCCGGTTCCTTCGACAAAAAGCAATGCAATTTCTCCATAGGATTTTGGAAAATAGCTGTAAATAAGGTCTGTGTTTGACACAAATTGAAGAGAGAGATCACGTTTTGTTCTACGACATTAAATACATCAGCAGTTACCCCGCTGGTGATTTTTGAAGAGTTTACAGTACGTGTCTGAAAAACGATGGTTGTTAACATGTGGCTGAATAGGACTACAGAAGTTGTCCAGGCCGTTTTACGTCATTACACCGAACACGTAAAACACTCCCGCTAAGTTTGTTTGCCCTGTTCTGCTTGAAAGCAAGTACCTGCCTCCTGCAAACTGTTCAAACAAACGCTTCAACTTGTACCATTTAGAATCTGTATGTTTGAATATGGATCTGAAGTTGGCGTGACGTTGATGCAGCGACCCTGCTGTAGTTCCTTTATAGCATAACGTTAGCATTTTGCTTCTGGCGACTAGGTTTATGATTAGAAAATTATAAAAGTAGGGTAGACATGTGGATATTATCCGGCTGAACAAAACGTGATCCGTCTCTTAAATGTGTGTCAACCACAGACCTTATTTCAAGCTATTTTCCCAAATCCTATGGAGAAATTGCATTGCGTTTGTGACGAAGGAACCGGAAGGAGTTTACTTCCGGGTTTTAGGACACGTCACTGCGGTTCTCTATGCTGTTGAGGTATAACCATAGACTGTATATATAAATGGGCGTAGTGTCCGTGACGTCACCCTTAGGATTCTGCAGAGTTGCCGAGAAGCCCTTAGTAGGCGGAGTCGGCCACTAACGGCTCGACAGTGACGTCAGAGTCTAACTCCCGCCTGCACCAGCCTGCTCCAAATAAGGGCAAAGAGGCGGAGCCGAGGCGGGACCTGCTGCCTCCGAACTGGAAGTAAACAGAGCTAGCTCAGGCTAAGAAGCTAAGCTAACATGAAATACATGCATACCAAGTTACTGCGTGGCACTTTGGTTTTGATAAAACAGTGTAGTTCCCCTATATAAACGTTACATTCATAATCAAACGAGACAATCTGCAAGAGAATTAGCTATTTTTTGTTATTCTTAATGCTTGTCATCACGTTAATAAAATAAAAGAAGTACCGATACATAGCAGAACAATTGTGGCGATGTTCAGCTTAATAAGCCTTGTTCAACATAATTTATTTAGCTAATACTACAGCGGGCTGCAGGCGAACCAAGTCCGCGTTTCGCTGCATTCCTTGATCTCCAGTTATAACGCCGGACTCCACCGCCCGGAGCTAACGGAGCCGGACGCCGGCTGGAGCTAGCCCCCTGCGGCTCCGTTAGCTCCGGCAGCCACCACTGGGATAATTGGGTCCCCTTTTAACATTTGCTCCCGTTTAGCATTATGGCCATATACTATAAAAGTCTTACCCAAGGCTGAATCATAAACTAAATTGTATATATATATATACAGTATACATGTATAAAGGGTTACGTCCTTAGCTGGCTAATAAGCTACATAACAAGCTAAGCTAACAAGCACACAAACACCTGCTAACGGGGTTAACATGTATAATATTATCATTTTAGACTTCTTGGAAGTTCTGTTAGTACATTCAAGCGCACAGCACGACATTTTAATTGTCTGGTATTTGTAACAATATTCCCTAAAAGGCACAATCACCACGAACACGGCTAAAGGGTCAAGTACATTAACTACAACTAACTAACATTGTAGCCTAGCAGAGTGGACAAGTTGCTGTTAGCTGACAGTGAGGCACGTACCTGTCCATCAAAGTGACCACGCCCTAATTTATGCAAAAACGTTAAGACCTAATATAAATAAAAGGGTCGCGTTAGCGCGTTTTTGGTCGACAAATACAAAATGGATTCACAAATCCCTGATCGATAGTTGTAAATGTTAACGAGATATTCAAAGATCTTTTTTTATTTGTAAAAATATTTTGCGTATTTGCAGATCCGTTTTACATTTGCACATTTTTTGTGAGTTTGCAAATCTTTTAAATGCATTTGTGGATGCTGTCTTACATTTACAAATCACATATTTACACACAAATTATTTTTATGTCCACACAAATTATTATGAGACATATCTAAGCCCATACTATAGCCACAGTTCACCAAGGCTTATGGTGTTGTATGCCCATGTTCATTTCTCGTGTGTGTGTTCCCACAGTTGACAGGTTAAGTGAGCTCCTCCTTGGTTCCAGTGTTGACATCCCTCTACCCGGCCATCACAGCCACATGGAGGGGGGAGACACCAGTGAGTCAGACAACCATTCATCATTATTCATCACAAGTATAAGAATGAACCGCCACCTATAAAGAACTTACAAGCAGGGATAATATGCAGGGATTCAGCCGAGTCCTGATCACCCTGTCGGGGTTCCTGTCACTAATGACCAGCTCGCTAACGCGACTACTTACTACACAAGTCAATAAATCAACACCAAATATTGATTTAAACATGATTTTCGCAGAGCCCATACCATGTTCAATTTAGTGTTTACTTCCTGTCAGAAAATGACACTTTTAAGACTGTAGCTACAAGATGTGACATGAGGGTTTTCTGATGGAGAAACAAATATTTTTGTTGTCCACAGCTGATGTTAAATTGACCAGACGTCTTTCTGCGGATTGATATTACTGCACATAGTCCCATGATTCTCTTTAGCAATGGTCATATTATGCTTAGCAGCAGTCTGTTAGCGAGTATTAAGGACCTCTGAAATGTCGAAATTGGCCAATCAGAATCCAGTATTCAACTAAGCCGTGTAATAACAGTTATAATCATTTTGTAACACTGCTGTGCTCGTTGATCAGGTGCTCAGGATCTGTTGGTCAATGGAGACCATGATGGCTTCACAGCAAAGGTGAGTTGTGGGCCAAGATTGAGGTAAAGTTTGGTGTGTGTGTGTGTGTGTGTGTGTGTGTGTGTGTGTGTGTGTGTGTGTGTGTGTGTGTGTGTGTGTGTGTGTGTGTGTGTGTGTGTGTGTGTGTGTGTGTGTGTGTGTGTGTGTGTGTGTGTGTGTGTGTGTGTGTAATAAATCATTAATGAATATACTGCTTGTTTTTACAGAAGATCTACCAGAGGCTGGTGAATCTGAGTGTTTATCTCCATGCAGTCCAGGTGAGTGTTTCTGTGCAGCTCTACCATGAGTCACATGCACCAGGACTTTATATAGCTCACTATAGACGGAGCTACAGGCACAGCTACTGAGAAGGTGCAGACTCTCAGCTTCAAACGTTCTGTGAGTCTTCTGTGGTGCAGGGGGTCAATAAATCTCCTCCTTTGACCATCACAACTTATTAAACAGTTTTCAACAGTTCAGTCAGACAACTCACGTGCTTCTTGATATGTTTATTAGAAGCAGCATATAGTTTGAGTTTGGCGTCTAGGCTCGGGCCTCATCACTCCACAGATTTACAAAGAACATTGAGTGATGATTAGATAACTATCCCCTTAGCCTACAGGTGGATGCTGGGGTGGAAGCTGGGGTGGTGGGGGGGCAGGCGAGCAGCAGCAACATGAAACACAGCAGCAGTAGCAATGTGAACGCAGCAGAAGGGCACGAACACAGCAGCAGCAGCAACATGAACGCAGCAGCGATGCATGCTGCTGCATGAGCGAGGCAGAGGCAGGCAGACCTGGCAGCTTAAATAGAGCGGCACGTTTAGGAGACTGTGATTGGTTGGTTGTAAGAGAGACGAGGCGCGTCATGTGTAAATGTATCATTGGTGCTCCAGTTGACTGCCTGAACTAGCTCGCAGGCTTCAACCCATTTGTGTACAGTCTTTTGTAAATATGATGAAGCACAGAGCGAAATCCATTGATCTCACCAGTGTCAAAGAAGTACACTATTTTCCTAACAGCTTTCACTTATTTTTAAAGTGTGTGTCTGTGGATGGTAATGAAGGAACATGTGCACTAGTGTGGCTCATATTGGAGGTCCACTGCACAGAGGAAGAAGATCATCCGTCTGTGATACAAAACGTGTTAGCAGATATTCACTCTAGGTGCTCATGGCCTTTACCATAGGATACAAAATGTTGGCAGACTTTTTGAAAGGTTAGTGAAATTAAAAATGTTTACAATAACAATCATGAAGAGTACACAAAGCCAACATTGGGTGAGTTCATTCTTATTGATTGTGTTGAGTCAGCAGATTGATTGATTGATGGATTGATTGGTTGATTGATTGATTGATAGACTAGGTTCCAGTCCTGCATTCTAACTCCTGGAGGGGTCTTTCTGCAGGACTGCAGCAGATTAGGCTGAGTGTGTTTGTTTAAATGGGCTTTTCTGGTTTAACCGGGTTAAGGTGTGAGTTAAAGGTCCCATGTCATGGCCATTTCCACTGATCATAATTCCATTGTTGAGGTATACTAAAATAGATTTATACTGTGCATTTTTCCAAACTCACATTGGTTTCGCATACAGCATCTCTGTCAAGTATGTGTATTCAGCAGTATTCACTTTCTCCACTAAACGGCTCGTTGCAGCTCTTGCCCCCCCTCCCTGTGAGCCTAGTGTGCTCCGATTGGTCAGCTCGGCCACTCTGTTCTGATTAGTCAACCACCAGAGAGGCTCCGCCCATGTCTAACAGTGCTTTTTTCGGCTCGCTCTCAGCGGAACAACAGTCTTATAATGGCCTCGGTACAGCCGTATATTTTATACGATAACTAACCGAACTGTACCTACAACTGTTGTTATAGAAGAGTAAGCTATTTTTACCTGTGATAAACTACTACTGTTTGATGAGAAATCAAATCATGGTTTGCTATATATGAATGATATGTTATAGGAGCAAATAATTCAGGGAAGAAAGGATACTAAGTATTTCCATCAAACTTTATTTTTAGAAATGTACAAAATGAACATGTGTAAATATACATATATACACTGTATATCATCCATTCCTCCCCTTATAGGTGTTTTCGGCATCTTGCCTATCGCAGCTTTGTAAGCGGCTGCCGGGGCTTTTTAGGACGAGGCATCAGAGTGGGTCATCCCGTGTGTGTGTTGTCCGCCAGATACGCCAGGAGTTTCCTGATCTGGCTGGACGAAATCAAATGCAAATCACAAAATATTAGAGAAACTTAGTTGTTTTAGATTCGTTAGTAGTAGTTGTTGTAGGAGTGTGTATCTACTATGAACAACAGCTAGTCTAGGCTAGCAAGAACATGTTTACAATTGCAATCTTATACGGGTAGTCTGCTATGTTCGGTCATTCATTGTAGCTGGCATGAAAACAATGTTTTCCCTAGCATGTCTAGCTCTAGGTAGCCTTGATGTTTAGCTATGTAGCATACACGCTATGAACGGTAGCTCGGTAGCATACACGCCAGGAACGCCAACTATAATGTACGGTAAATCACCCGGAGTATGAGTATTTCGTGTGTGATTGCAGACATTCTCCTGCTATGAGATACATGTAAGGCCATCTGCTAACATTGGAGTTGATATATGGAAACGCTAGCAACTTAGTTAGCCCAGTTAGCATTGCTCGCACACACACAGACACACACACTGCTGGAGGAGCAGACAGGCTTGGCGATACAGCTAGAACAAGCGAAACTCATCCTGAGCACACACAAACACTCACAGCCGAAGTAAAAACAATAAGTGTGGCTTGATATTGAGTAAGAAAAAGGTTTATAACCAGGGGTTAAATTGGGATTTGATATGTGGGGGGGCTCTGTGTGGAGGGGGGGGGGGGGGGGCGGGGGGTAGAGGATCTCATTATTAGACCTTGAGGGCTATACTGTATATGAGGCCCTAAAGGAACTGCTCCATTATCTGTATCAAATGCACACATTGATGCAACCAAATTACACAATACAAATAGAAAGTACTACAAATAAATTGGAATTAATTTACACAAAAATGTATACACATATCCAACCTTCAAATTGCTATTTTAATTTAATTTCTCTGCACACTTGCTAAAGAATATTTGTGTGGAAATCTCAGTTCATTTGTAGGGCTGCGAGATTATGGCCAAAAGTATGCTATACATTTCACTGTAAACGATTGAATCATCACCAAATGTGGTGTTATTATGACCGATCATAACTCAGCTTTATGCACACGCATACATTTAGAATGGTTTAGCAAACGGGCTCCGTGTTACAGGACGGGTCGGGGGTTTCGCGGCACCGCTGCAGACTCTCTGCACGGAGCAGAGACACGTTCACTAAGCCGAAAAACTATATCCGGTCACAGAGATCTGCTATTTTAAAGTAAAGTTAACACATATCGACCCTAAATATAGTCTATATTAAGAACGAGAAAAGTTTTAACATATAGTTTTTTTAATACAAATGTGCGAGGGTGATGACGTCAGAGCATCGTCCTATGTGCCGGGGCTTAGCCCCGGACAGCCCCGGCCCAATTTAACCCCTGTTTATAACGCTGTGAGCATGGGTCTGCGGAGAACATTTCAACGTAGTAGTCCGAAAAACGTTTACCCATTTAAACAGTCGTGGTAGATACCTTGTTTGTTTTAAACATCATAAATACACAAACAACAATGAATACTTACAGGTTGTGTACCCGAACTCCCGCTGGTCCAAACAAAGTAGGAACAGCATCGTTCTTCAGTGCCCTACGCTGTACATATCCGGCATGAATCCTGAAAGGTTTTGGGAAGCTTTGTTACGTGAAAGGCTGGCAGAGGGTGCGGCCATAGCTCTGGGCGTGGCTACTGGCCATTCCTACGTAGCGATACCCAGGAAGTAAACAATGGAAAATGAGATATCTCCAACGAGGCGTTCTGGGGCAGCATAGACAGGTCTTTTCTGTGTTAGAGTTTTACTCGCTACAGGGTGTACTTTGAGGGTTTGTGACTCTGCAGACCGTTTACATAAAAACCTTCATAACACACAAGGGGACGGGTAATAACCGGAAAAGCATGACATGGGACCTTTAAACTCTCAGGCCATCACACCAGGTGCATTGTCTGACAGGGGGTGTGGGAAACTGAGTAATCTAGTCTGGTATCCTGATGAAACAGCATTTGATTGAATGGGAACCCGGGAACCCGGCACCAGTTTCAGATAAATGATATGTAATCAGTGACCCTAAAATATATATAAAAGTAATATAAACATAATGTACCTCAATATCAAATGCAATGCAACAAATACCAGAGAAGACACATATCAATACAATGTTTTTACGAACAGAACAATGTGACCTTAGAAAAGAAGAAACCAAGGTATTTAGTATCACAAATATGTCATATAAAAGTATAGGCTATACAGGCTACATAATCATTTTGTGTAATATATGAATTCAAAGCAAACACAGTATTTTTGTTCAATAAATCAGGTGTTAACCTACTGCATTTAACAAAGAAAGAAAGTAGCCTAAATGAAAACCAATGCATAACATTTGTCTACCTACAATATATTGATCTTTATTTAAAATCCATTATACTGTAACTAATGTAATCCTGCTACTAATGCCCTTTTTGTAAAAATATACCAGTAAACTGATTACGTCTTTTTTAATGTAACTGTAAGGGAGTTATCTTTTTGGTATCCTGATTACATGGTCCTGTTACATGTAATCTGTTACTCTCCAAGCCTCTCAATAATGGTGTGTCCTTCTGGGGACTGACCGTAACTCTCCAGCAACAGAGGTGGGAGAAGTACTCTTGTACTCTCTTGTACTTCAGAAAAAGTAGAAGAAGAAGAAGATGGACCTTTATTAATCCCCAGAAGTACCAGAGTGTAGGAATACCCTCTTACAAGTAAAAGTCCTGCATTCAAAATGTTCCTCAAGTAAAAGTAGAAAAGTATTATCATCAAAATATAGTGAAAGTAGCGACAGTAAAAGTAGTCGTTGTGCAGATTGGTCCATTTCAGAATAATATATATGATATGTTTTATAATGATTGATCATGAAAGTGTTCTCAAAGCTGGTAAAGGTGCAGCTAGTTTGAATGACTTTGTATACTACAGAGTAGCTTGTGAATTTACTCCAGGTGGAACTAAAGTCTGATTTAACACTTGATTATATTTCACATCATTCATCCACATCTGTAAAGTAACTAAAGGGATTAAATACATGTAGTGGAGGAAAAGTACACCATGTACCTCTGAATTGGGGTAGAAGTAGCATCAAATGGAAGTATCTAAGAATGTTACAGTTCAGTATACTTGAGTAAATGTACTTAGTTACTTCCCACCTCTGTCCAACAGGCACACTTCTGATCAGCAGGTCCTGTTAAATGTTTGAAACTGGGTTCTCTCATGTCCTGCAGGGGGCGGTCATCAAACAGGACTCCATCTTAGAGCAGCTGCTGCAGCCCCAGGAGTCTCCCCCCCCAGCAGCAGGGGGGGGGTGGCGCCCCCTCTGGAGGGACGGGGTGACCCGGGAGGCCGGCGCAGGCTCCAGCGTGGGGGAGCTGACCCTCCTGCAGAGGCAGCACAGCCTGCTGCAGGAGGAGCTGCTGAGGCTGCGGGACGCCGAGGGCCGCTTCAAGGAGAGCGAGAAGGCCCGGGCCCGGCTGGAGAGGCAGGTCCGGAACATGAAGGACTCTCAAGTGAGAACTCTTTTATTAAATTACATAAAGTTAGGGGAATCACAAGAGACAGACAAGTCAAAATCAAAGAGCAAATATCAGAATCGGGTACGTTTCACATACAAGTTATTTGCCCAGGAGGATTGGTTTATCACAACCAAATATAAAACTGAAATTAAAGCAAATGCAAGAAACTTGAAAATAATCCACAATTACCATATAAAATACAAAACAAATATGAACAGTATAGGAGCAAGACAATTATGAGTTTATTATTTGATTATTTAATTATATCTAAAAATATAGAATTTTGAACCTTATATACTGAATATATAAGGTTGTTAATTTCTTTATTTGTTGAGACTCAGCTGATGGAGGCAGTGATTGTCTCCGCTGGTATAAAAGAGGAACATATCTGTGGTTCTTTGGTTTGAAGCCACATGGTTTTTGTAAAGTACATTTAAGTTTAATTAGATTTAACTTCACTGTCTACCTGTGTCTACGTCATCTGGTAAGACCAATTATTTTGTCTGTAAAAAGAGGAGAAACTTAATTAAAGGAGTTTGAAGGAGAAAAGATGCAACAATAAGAGAGGTTTGTGCAGGAACTGACCAGGGAAGTCAAAGTTCACAGCATGAATTATAAAAAGATATTCCATGCACTAAGAAGCTAATCTACAAGATGTGTGTAGAGATAAGGTTATCACAATGATCCATTCACCTGTGCTCCTGCTGCTGTAGCCTGTATCTCTGCAGCCACACAGGGAGCCCCCCCACGGAGCCGAGACCCTCTGGATCAGCCGGGACCCTGCCAGCCAATCAGAGGGCCTGCAGGACGGCAGTGATGTGGAAGTGGACATGACGTCTGATGATGACGATGGGACGGTATCTGAGAGCTCCAAAGGTCAGCTGATGAACCCTTTTGGTATCACCGTGTTCTGTAGGTAGGGGGGGGACTTAAATGAACATACTGTTAATCAGTAAGTCAGTTAATGTACTCTGAGTACATTGCTACATTTTTAAGTTTAATTATCGAACACCTATGGGCTTCAAATGAAAGAGCTTTCCCATAACAACATGAACACAATACACAAACCAGCAATACTGTTTGATATGGATGGAAATGTGTAGCTTGTTCAACAAATTATTACTTAAATAAATGAGTTAAAAAAACCCACATTCTTCAGTTTAGCCCTAAAATAATGACCAGAAAAAAGGCCATACTCACACAATTAAACTCAAATCAAATAGCTTTTGACACCTCAGCAGGTGCAACTAACATTGTTAGACTACATATATTTACTAATCTGTCATTTTACCAACAGAATAAAAATCTCAAGGTAGCCAACAGAAAATATTTAAAGATAATTGAAACGTGACATCAGCTGCAGCCCAAACCATACTATATTAAAACAAGAGACTGCAGTTACACACAGCTGGCTGGGAGTGACAACAGTTAGTGTGTTTGTTTCCTTATTAAATATAGTATAGATTCAAGCCCTCCATGACAAATGATTTTGCCTTTAAGAAATACTTTGTTAAACATCTCTAAACATCTCATGGCTGGATGGAGCAGATATGTGTTACACTTTGTTAATGCTGAATAAATACTTTGTTAGTTAAGAGTGGTGGGAAACCTCGGGCTGAAAGTGGTGTGTTCTCTCCTCTTCAGATCTTCAGGACATTCCAGAGGAGATCTGATCCTCCAGAGGAGATCTGATCCTCCAGAGGAGATCTGATCCTCCAGAGGAGAACTGATCCTCCAGAGGAGAACTGATCCTCCACAGAGCTAATGAGCCTTTATAGCTATATTTCATTATGATATTAACTGATTCCAACAATGTGCATGTCTACATTTTCTGCACTGTTTATTTAGCTGCTTTGCTTGAGATGGCTTGTGACATTGAGCTGTTTGTTTCAGTATGATTTGGACTGTTGGTGATTTAAGTTCCTCACTTGAACAAAGGAGGGGGGAGTTTTGAACATGAAGATTCACAAAATCTTACGATTCAACAAAATCTATGAGTACCGATGGTCAGGGTTTCCATTATTTTCATCGTTTAAGCATTTAATCTGCAAATATTGTTATGTTGAGCAGAAAAGAGAATATTGTATTTAGGCATGAGGTGGAGACAGACACCCCTTCTCAGGTGGAGACAGACACCCCTTCTCAGGTGGAGACAGACACCCCTTCTCAGGTGGAGACAGACACCCCTTCTCAGGTGGAGACAGACACCCCTAGTGTTTCTCTGGGAAGGGTTCATGAGCTATAATGTGGAACAACATGGATGTGCTATAGAAGATGTGTTGTATTTGATAGAATTTGAATATTCTTTCCAATATTTGCGTGACACCAAAGAGCAAAAAGCTCCCATAGATCATTGTTCAGGGACATCTCTCTAACATGGAGCTTAGCCTTCCTATTGGTACATTTTGTATTTATGTAGAAGTATCCATGATGACTGGTAATGCACTGAAGACAGGTTTTACGGCGCGGCATACTACTATCTACTATAACTGTGTCACAGAGAAACTGGCAGCACATTTAGCTAAACATTTTAAAACGCGAAAGGTTTGATACATTTATCAAATCAAATGAACCGATACTTTCAAAAGACTCTGTGTGCACAAATGAATATTTACCAAAGACTGATTCTTCCAGCTGTGATTGGTTTGTCCTTATCACATCACACTTACGGTGGCCCACAGGTGCAGACACAATACAACGCGCGGTGCACTTTTAGAAATGATACAGATATAAATACACAAATGTCCCAAAACACATGAAGAAACAGCTGTTTCATAACTGTATCTTTAGTATATTTAATATGACTAGGTTCACTAGGTTAGCTAGCTAGCTTATAGCAGATCAGCAATAATATCTAAATGTTTTCTAAATGTTGCATGTGTTTTAGAGTTGGTGAAGATGTTTCTTCATCTGCATGTGTTGTGGCACATTTGTGTTTTGAGCCGTTGTAGACATGCGGTGCGCTGCTGTGTTACAATAGTTGGACCTCGCATCGTTTTCACATATTCTTGTTACACTTGCTACACTGACAACATTTTTTTAGGGCGCCAAAAATTCACAATGTGTACAGCCCCCAAATTCACATTAAAATATAACAACACAGGGATTGCTTTGAAGTGTTTCAAGTGACTGACTGTAAAGGACACTGGCAGGCTAAGTTACAAAATGTAATTCCTGATTTGAACCCAAGTTATAAATCAGTAAAGATTCATAGGTCTTTTTATAGTTGAGGTATATAAGAAGACATCATTGCCTGAAACCAGACACAGCGGCATCTCATGTGAAAGTCCCATGTTTTTCGGTGCCATCAGCTCACCCGACTTCCACCCAGCAGCCAGCAGTGCCCCGGACTGAAAGAGTGTGTGTCAGAGCTCATTGATGAGGACATCCTGTGGCTCTCACAAGAAACTCTCCTCTGTTGATTTATGTCCAGTAAACATTCAGCAACACAAGTATATTATGTTTATATAATGTGTTATAAAGAAGACTACTAGAAGAAACACATCACAAGGCCTCTGGAGGAACGGAGGGTTCTCTGAAGCAACAGACTCATAGGGCTTTGCTTTTGAAATCAGTTTCAGTGAGGAGTGATAGTTCTTCATGTTTTAAGCTACAATCTCTCTTTTGTAACAACTGCAATAGAAACAAGCTGTGAGCTTCATGCTGTTTGCATCCTTCAACATTTTGATATGTCTGGCTGATGTTTTGGTTTGACCAAGAACGACTGACACGTGTCTGGCTGATGTTTTGGTTTGACCAAGAACGACTGACACGTGTCTGGCTGATGTTTTGGTTTGACCAAGAACGACTGACACGTGTCTGGCTGATGAATGTGATGGCATATTCAGGATATTGCTTTTTATTGTTCTTAAATGTAAATAGAGCTTGATTTTGCTATTGTTTTTTGTCTGCAAAATGATTGTGAACTTTTAATACGTATTCTCATATTACAATGCTGTACGTCTACGTTCTGCTGAATCTCAGTGACATCTCTCAGCCTAAAGCGACGGGGTTGATTTTCTGATAGCAAATATTGTTAAAAACCAACCTATTAATAGTATTATACTGTATATGAAGCAGACGCTTTACTCGTCAGTAAACAGTGTAAGGCCTCACATTATAAAAGGGCTGTCCTTACTTTTGCACTCCTGTCTGTCATTCATGTGAATTGTATAACTATATGAAAAATAAAAAAGTTGTATTATCAAAAAATGTTGTGTTGTTAAATGTAACAAAACATATTTCCCAGTTGGAGACAAGTGGGAAGAAGATTGATGAAAAATGCCAAAGATGTGTTCATTGACTTCATTAAGAAACAGCATTATCTGTTAATACACATCACAGACTTTATTCATTTAAATAATGTTGGTTAAAGGGGAGATATTATGTTCATACTTCTTGAGCTAAATGCTGCAGGTCTTCAATGTTTTTAAGGCCAAGGACCCCTTAGCTGAGGAGAGATGTGGCAGGGTCCCCTTACTGTGAAAAGGACTTGCATATTAAATGGGATTAGAATAAAGTTTAGGGTTGTCTCACATTCCATATAAAGCCTTTTTAAATGTATTCAATATTAAGCTGTTAAATGATCAATTCATAGCTAACAACTAGTTTGTTGTAATGGATAGAGGGCAGCACAGTGACAGTTTCTTTACTCAGGAGAACCCGCTCAGGTACGTTACACTTCTTTACCATGCAAATGGGCAGGTTGGCCTTCCTGGTTATTTTTCTGTTAAGCCTCTGTCAAGTCCAACTTCAAGTCTGAGTAGTTTGCGCTATCGATAAACTGTTAGGATGTAGGACAACAGGGATGTTCTGAAAGCAAACCCAATGGAACAATGTTCCTGAGAGCTGCCCATGGCATTAAAGAGGTATTGATCAGTTATTATTCGAGAGATGCTGATTCCATAATATGGTTAAAAAAAAACATATGATTGTTGCTGTTTCTGCCGGAGGGGGGGGAAGTTCTTCTCAAAGCTTGCTGCTGAATTGTACACCCCCCACCTTAAAGAAGAGTGACTACGGATGGAGTTCACTCTGTCCAGGAGTTGGAGGGTGTAGGGGCCGGATTGGAATAGCTCCATGTATGAGGAGAACTGGATACAGTGATGGAGGCGGGGCCCTTCCTTCCAATCAAAGTTAAGCAAAACTAAACTTGAAAAGTTGCATCTTATGTGAACTTAGCCCTAACTTATGAAATAAGAAGTTATCATCATCAAGCTTTAACTTCAACATATTGATCCTTATGGGTGATATATTTTCAGAAAATGCAGGTGTTACAGAGGTTACATCTGTATTAGTCAGGACATTGTAATACATCATTGGTCAAGTTATTACGTTATCGGGTTTTGATTTTTGATCTGGTGGGACGGACAATAATACATTTTCCACTACTCAAGCAAAAATACAGAGTTGGTGGTGAAGTCATTGCAGTCAGCTTCTTTTGGTTAGGGTTACCTGTTTGTTCATCATACAGGTTCTTTTTACCAGGAGCCATATTTTCCTCAGGGGCCTCCTGCTCTCCAAAACAACAAGCTCTGATGAAGAAACAATGAACGAAGGCGTTTCTCATTTACAATCAGTGTTTCAAGGCTACGAGCTAAGGGCTAACATCTGCCCAGTTTGTTCCTCTGATTAAGATCCGGACGTCTGATTAAGTCCTATTGGTAAAATATAGTTAAAAAACACTCACATGTATGCAGTGGTGTTTTTATATGTAAAAAAACTGGAGGGGCACGAACAACTTAGATATTTCTATATACTTTAGGCTTCTGGTGCTTTTTTAACACGTCAACAAATAGGAGGCAACAGCTAGCTGATCCTTACATACAAAGAGAGAACGAGGGGGGGGGGGGGGAGTGTGTGAGAGAGGGAGGATGGGAGCAACAAATGACATACTGTCGGAAGCCGTGAATCAACAAAACTTACCTCCAGTTTTTCTCCTAGAGTAAGCGTCTCAAATGTGAGCTCCAGTCGATGATCAACTTCATTCATTTTCATTTTTTATTATTTTGGTGATGTAATTCAAAGCTCTCGTCTTCTCTTCACACTTTTCGCAGCACTCACACTCACAGCCAATCAGCTCTGAAATATGAGATGATGTTTTAGTTAGGCTGCGAGCGCTTTGCCCCACCCGGGATAATTTTTTCGCCGTACATATTGAACAAAAACTACTCTGAGCCTGCGCAGTGTAGTTTTGACAATACACGTTCATTTTTACAGAGAGATGGGCAGCCCCACATCGCTCAACCCGACTAAGTACGCACACTGTGGACACTAATCAGAAGAAGGCAGTCTGAAGCAGCTGTGCCCCACCTGCCCCTAATGACGGGTTGCCACTGCATGTATGAAAATGATAAGCTTACTGATTAGTGGAGGGTAGAATGATTTCTTGACACTATGTGTGATGATTGAAAATGTGGAAACCATGCAAAGGGAAAAGTTCCTGAGGGTAGCAACAGCCTCTGAAACCGCTGTGAATGACTCTTTCTGTGAATATGAACTGTTTCACATTTAACATGAATGCTAAACAACTAGTTATACATAGCACATAAATCCTGTCACCAGAGACTGTATGAACACCATCAGGCCGCACTGCACACATCACAGGAAAGGTCACTGTCACAGAGACGCACAGGGAATTGATACCAGCATTCTCATCTGATTGTTGCTTTCATGGCAAATGCATTTTCCAAAATGTCCCAGAGTTCAGATCATCGATAAGGACAGAAACAAACCTCCTCAGTGATTTGGATCTTTTTTCTCTGCTTTCATGTCTGACTATTTGTGTGCACCGCTCGTCTCTTATTCTAATCCTCTGGACAATGTCAGCCAAAAGATGTTTATTAATAACCATCGGGGGCCTAGAGAGGGGAATAACTGACATAGTCACCCCGTCGCCCCTGTACTCTACCCATCCCATGGAGAAATCCAATTATAGGCATTACAGGCCAGGTGATGGAATAGGGTTACAGGACAGGCATTCCTCCCCAGTGTCAGATTGTATTGTGTTAGTTCTATCTCACAGACTCTCACAGCATCGTCAATACAATTTATATATATGAGATATACTTTAAACATCCTCACCGTTGTTCCTACAAGTGTGAAAAAGCTGCTTTTAGTTATGAATTCAGAGCATATTTTTTCGAACAAAAACCTGCTTCTTCCTTTGAAGACAATTGCGATATTAAGTGAACAGAAATGTCAACCATCCCAGTAACTCGACACTCCTGAAAAGTGAAAAAGAATGATGAATAATGCCTTCTGACGGGAAATATATGACATCTCTACCTCCATCAGTGCTCTAACCTGAAAAAACACTTACACTACAAATGGACACATACTAGACAATCAGGATTACATCTGCACTGTTTTTGGGAAAACAACGGAGTAAATACAAGTTGTCCCTCTCTTATCTCATCGTTTCTCTACTGCTTCACTCTTACTGCTCTCATTGACATCAACCTTATAAGACCTAACATGCTTTCATCAGAATTTTTTTACATTTGACTTCTAATGTATCTAATTGTAAGTTGTTCTTTGTACAGTAGATGAGTGCATTTAGCTTTCTTATCTTTTACTATATAATAGATTCAAAACATTTTCTTAGACATCCTTGGTTTCCCTTTAACATACAGTAATACTCAAGTGTGTTAAAGTGCCCATCCAGTCCTGTTGCACTAATGACCTAATTAGCTAACACATTACGGGCAATGACTTGTTATGATCTTCTTAAATCATGAACATTATGAGCCATCACAATATGTTCCTCACTGAGAGGATTGTCAAACCACATCTGCGGATCAAAAGACCAGAACAGATATTAAATGGACCTTCGGTGACTATCCTAACTGTCCGCTATCTTCCATGTGTTGTGATACCCCCCGCCCCCCCCCACATCACATGCCACTGTAGACCTAAATGGTGTCAGATGGATATGAGATTGTAACAGTGCTCTGCTCACTTAATGGCAGCAACAGCTGTTGTTTAACTGCATGGTGGCCGTACAAAAAGTACAATTAAAGACAAAAAGTTGTTACAGCATACTTTTTAAAATAAAATGTATCTTCAAAAGTACTAAAAAAAAAGTATCTGAGGACCCTGAAACATTTTGAAGACAACTCTCATCAACTGGAGGAAGTTCGACCTTTGTCTGGTCCGTAATATGAGCATTATGACAGACAGAAAAAGACTAAAGCATTTTTCTTTGTCATGTCTTCAGTTTAGCAACGTAGCTCAGCCTCAATTTATTTCATATTAAATCAACTATATTGATATTGTGAAATAAATTATAGTTTTCTTTCTAGTCACACCAATGTTTTTATTTGTTTTAGTTTTCCTGACATCACAAAGAACAGAGTAGATTAAATATTAAAATGGTGTTGTACTTGTGTCTCTAAGCATGGAAACATACAAATACACAAGTTGTCAGTGTGCAGGTTTACCTCTCATTTGAGGGCGGACTGCAGGGCTAGAGGAGGGTGAGTGTGTGCGGGTGAGTTAAGGGGCTTGGATGTGGGAGGGTCTGCCCCTCTGTCATATAAATGCTCTCCCTCTATCTATGTCAGAGTTTAGTGTCTCCCCCAGGCTCTCAGGTCATCCGTCCTGCACCCGTTTGTCTTCCTAACTGTACTCAGCTGCAAAAGCCCACCAGACCTCAGCCAAGATGGAGGCCATCAAGAAGAAGATGCTCATGCTGAAGTTGGACAAGGAGAACGCACTGGACCAGGCCGAGCAAGCTGAAGCAGACAAGAAGGCAGCTGAAGACAGGAGCAAGCAGGTGGGTTGTGGACACGGATACAAGAACTCATATTAAACAGGTGTGAGGCAGGTACTTTGAAAGGTTCAATGCCAAGGTGCCCTTGAGCAAGGCAGCAGACCCCCATACTGCTCCCTGGATACTGTATAATAGCTACCCACTGCTCCTCAACCCTAACACTTCTTGAATGCAGAGACAGAATTGTACAATGTGTGCAGTTAGGTTAGGGTTGGAGTTAGGTTAGGGTTAGGGTTAGGGTTAGGGTGGTGTACAAGATGAAGACTAAAAGGGACTTTATGCAAATCATCTATATCCATATTCCGTTGAAGGTCCTGTGAGGCAGGGAAGGATTCATGTCATGGGCCTTAGGGTGACCTGTCACTCCTTCAAGGGACTTTTTCCTCCACTGTCTCATGAAGCTATCATAACTGAGGAGTTACTAAAGCTCATGTCTTGT